ACGAGACCTGAAAAGTCGCTTCATTTGCATGCGGGCCGGGAGCCAGGGCGCAGAACGCAGTGGTGTGCTTTGTGCGCTCGTGTACGCGCTTCGTGGCCGACCGTGGTGGCCCGAGGGCTGCCCGGCTGCCTCTGCCGGCTGGAAGGCAGGGGAATGGGCGTCTTGGCTAGGCCACACTCCTCAGATCCCTATTCACGCTCCGGTTTCCTCCGATGCTGGTGGCCCCTACGGGACAGGGGGAGCGCGAGACGCCCCGCCGGGCTGCGGCCGGGAGTGGCCTTCCAGGAGCCGCAGAAACACCGAACCCACGACAGGCTGGTCTTGCCCAAGAATGTCGCCTTACTGGTGGGCGCCAGACCCCGGGAGGTGGCGGAACGCGTGGATGGCCAGATCTCCGCAGAGATCAGCCCTGAGCTCAAGCCTAGCCCCGGGTCAAGGTGCCGGGGAAGCCCCCGCAGACCTGCTCGCTCTCCGGAGGCAGACGAGTGGTGTCCAGCAGCCTAAGCGTGAGGATGAAATCTTTATAATTAACGAAGAAAGGAGTCTGTGGCAAAAGCAACCAGGAGAGGTTGCTCTTGCGGAGGAAGAGATACCATTCTCGGTCACTGAACGAAATCAGTGGTTGATCCAAGATGTGGGACTGAAAAATTTTACCGAAGGAGAGTCTTGTACTGACAAATAGGAGACGTGAGGAGTCTTTGTATCTATGACCAATGTGTTCGGTTTTCTGTTCACTTCTTTTCGAATCTGCCAACTCTTTTTTCACAAAACAACCCGAGCAACCTCTCGTGGCTGCTTTTTCCGAAGACTCCTTTCTTCCTTGTTACCGTGGCCTGTGAAAGTTTAATTCTGACTGGTTGACTTACTCGATCATTTGTTGTATTGATGACAATGTTTAATGCATTTCATTTCTAGTTTTACAAATACTTGAAGACTTGTTTGTCTAGTAGAAGTGGCTCATTAGCACATCCTTCAGGAACGAAGGTCTAATTAACCCCTAGAGTCCAAAAGGTTATCTTTAAAAAAAAAAAAAAGCCATAAGGATTTTTGTCTCATTTAAATTATCCATCTCCAAATTGACTAAGATTCAATTAGGAAATGAAGCACCTCAACTTTGTACCACCTGACTTGAAGAGGAGTCGGGGTGCCTCTGCGGCACCCTCAGAGTGCTTCCCTCTGCCCAGCATACCTGTGGGAACCGCACTTTCTGAGTAAGTTCAGCTGTTACCTAGTTTGTGGCATTTCATCCCCTCCCAGGTACCAGCCTTCCCTTGAGAAAACACTAGGTGTGCGCTGAGGCCATTTTTTAACACGGTGAGAACAGTTGACTCCACTCCTCCCACACTAGGGGCCTCCAACTTTTTCCAACTTAACGTTCCCAAACTTCTAAGGCTCCTTTCACACACACCCAGACACCCAGGTTTGATAGGGAGCTAGTTACAGAGCTAGCTAGCTGCTATACCCCAAAGTGACTTGAAGCACCCTGGAATCTAACTTCCTTCCCTAACGTCAAGTCCTGAGTTAGGGTGGTCTCAGGACGACCAAAGAACCCCCCCTTCCCATTTTCCACCCCCCAGTGCTGCGTGTCACCTTGGTTCTTTACCTTTTGTTAGTTGCTATTTATTCCCCACTCCAATAGGATTCCCCACTCCAGTAGGAAACTACCCTAATGGGTTCCATTTATAAGTTTGAAGCATTCTTCCATGAAGTGTTCTATGTGCACACATTACGTTTAGGTAAACAGTGCTCTTTTATACTTCACTTTGTTTGCAGCGTGGTGCCACAGCTCTGTGCCCTAAGCTCCACTATGTCTGTATGTGCCAAGCTCCTCTGTATCTCTGGGCTTCAGCATGCTCTATAGCCTCCATCCCCCGTTTGACCTTCCACCTCCCCCGTTGAGGGGCACTGGCGCTCATCTTCCCCACCCCCAAGACAACGGTGCTGAGGATGCCCGAGTGTGCATCCCCCTGTGGGCCTGGAGAGGACTAAGGAACACCTGTAAGTGGGTCACTGGGTCCAGGCTCATCATGCTCTAAATCTTATGACACCTGGCAGCAGTGCTGCAGAACCCAGCAGCAGTGCACGGGACAAATGGTGGCAGCTTTCCCATCCCCATCAGCCCAACAGTGTGCGTCATTACTTTTATGGACATGTGACTGCTCCAAAAACTAAGGAGTTTGAGCATCTCCTCCTGGGTTTCTGAGCCCTCTGGTTCCTCTTACGCACTTGCTTGTCCACACTTCTGCCGTGTTATTTTACTCCAGTCACTTTTGGCTCTTCACAATTTGCAGGAGCTCCTTGCAGTTTCGGTACGAACCACATTGGTCTGGGCACTGCAGACCTCTTCTACTGCTCCGCCTATCTGTGTGGACTCTGGCCATGGGACACTTGGTTGAGTAGAGGAGGCATTTTTATAAGCCCAACCATCTCACCTGAGAAAACCATTCCCAACACCACATAGTCCTTAGCCTGTCAGCTGGTGGCAGAAAAGTAATGGCAGCATTCTCATTAAACCGCTGTGGGTGTAGTTCTTGTGTTCCTTGATCCACCCCCCCAACCCCCACCCCCCGCCATGGCAGGGCAGCGCTAGGGGGACATCCTACCAACAACGGCAAGAGAATGGGCATCAATCCATAGGTCTGCAGAGTTCAGCCTCAGGACTGGCCATAGCCGTGAGGTCTGCCCCACCCTCCCCAGCAGGTCATACCGTGGGAAAAAGCTACATCTGCATCAAGGACATTGTCAGCAGACCAGCTTCCCTGGAGTTCTCTGCACCTCTTAGACATGAAAATCAGGTTGGGGCACCCCTGTACCCATGTCATGTTGGCAGAAACAGTTCTACTGCACTGCTCCCCATGCTGGTATCCCCCATATCCACCTTTCTGCTACCTCAGTAACAGGGGCCTGGGTCACCTCCAGCTTCTTGATGCTGCAGACAAGATTCAGTAGCCGTCCTGTGCACATTACCTCATGGAACCATGCTGGCATCCCTTTGGCACGCCAACCCAGGGCTGGAATTGCCACGTCATATGGTAGCACACAATGTGCTGTCTAGTCAACTACTGGAAGTGATCTCTGAGCCCTCCCTGATAGAAGGATCTGTGTGCCTGGGGCCGTGGGATACACTGGTGTCTGGAAGAACATTATTCCACAGAGCACAAGGGCCCACAATAGAGAGGCCACTGTGACCAGTCAGCAGGGAGCAGAGGGTGGGAGCTGACTTCAGTGAGGAAATGGCAGGGATCGGTTGTACAGCCCAGCAGGCAACACAGAATTTTCACCACTGGACATTCAGAGGAACTGCTAAGTGAGAAGCCAAATCTTACTGGAATCAAAGGCCATCCATGCTGGAGACATTCCTGGCCTGCTGGACACAGGCCGGCAGCTCCCTCCTGTGTCCCCACTGCATCTCAAACTGGAGCCAGGGAGGGGGCTAGAGGCACCCCTAGTGTTACCCCTGATCTGAGGAGTCAGGATTATTTATTAGCGTTACTTGGCCAAGGTCCTACAGCTTGCCAAGAGGATGACCCCTTAACTCTCCCATACACAACCAGGCAGCTTTTCCCACCCTCTGCTCATCATTCTTATGTAGAGAGTATGTGAGAGAAAGGGAGAGACAGCTCATGCGCTGAGAATTCTACCCACATACCGTCAGAAAGCAAGTAACTCCATGCTGGTATCAGAACCTCCCATCTCTCCCCAGCACTGGGCACCCAGGGGGGTACCACCTTTCTGGCCTGCACCCCAGCCCTGTCTAGCACATCAGTCTCCAGGAAGCCAACTGAGAGCAGAACGGACAGGCCTCCCAGCAGCTCTCTGCAGAGGAGGAAAGTGGGTAGCTGGATCTCCAGCTGTGGGAAACTGGGGCAGCGCCCCAATTTCACTCGGCAGAAGCAGGAGGTGGAGGGCTCATCAGGGAGAAGTCCAACCCACAGACCCCCGACATGGGGCAGTGCAGACACAGTGCCTCCTCAGAGACCAGTCAGGGCATGGAGAGAAGATAGATGGGAGGAGGGACGCCAAGCAAACTGGTTGAAGCGAGCCCTCTTTAGTGGGCTCTGTAAGCGCCAGCTACCAGCCAGGCAGGCCACCCCCAAGCTCACAGAAACACAAGAGGCCAGCAGCACCAAAGGCCAGTGACTCTCAAGTCTGAGAGGCTTCGTCCAGAAACGGGCCATCGATCATAAAGCTGCACTTTTGGGAACGACTCACAGCCCCAACCACCATCCTTAACACCTGTCTGTGTCAGTTCTTGGACCCCTTGACCTTGTCACTTTGCGCTGCAGTTTTGTCTTTTGGAGGAATCTACACGATGACACTACTACTAAGAGGTTTTGCTAAATTCGTCCAGCAGAGGAAATATTAAGAGAAGCCAGAGGTACAGGGAAATGAAACACCACGGTGAGGCCTGGGGATGGCCTGAGCCTGGGACTGCTCCTCCTGCCCCAGGAAAAGTCCTGGGTCAGTGAGGCACAGGCAGGCGGACAGGGCAGACAGAGGGTGATGCTAAGGCAGGCTCCGGGGAAACCACTGGCATCCAAGGGATGGAAGATGGAGAAGAGAAATGAGAGCCGGCTGAGCAGACACCCTCGGAGGCAGAGCAGGGACAGAACCTGGAGCATATGGCCAGCAAGGGTCTGCACTGCCCCTGACACACAGACTCCATGAGGACCTCAAGGTTCTCATGTTTCTGTGGATAGACCTCAAGCTGTAGCTGTAGGTTTGTGCAACATATGCTGTTGGAGGACCGCAAGCAGAGGTGACAGGTCTGACCTGCCCGCCCTCCACACCCAGGCACCCTGAACACTCCTTTCCCTTGACACTCACCCCAAATTTAACCTTAACTGCTATGCCCAGTGCATGGGTGGGGGTCTATGGGCCTGGGTGTGCGTGTCTGGTGGAGCAGCCCCGTTACAGGCTGCATTTAAATGGGGCGGGTGTCAGGTCTGGACAGCCCAGGCCTGGAGATGACGACCACAGCTCATGGAGACCCCGGCAAATCTGACGAGACTTGGGGCAGCGAAAAGAACTTTATGGAGTTGGGATACACTCAGGTTAACTTACCCCCAATACAGATCTCTACAGTGAAATGTTTATAGCCTAGAAACATGAACACCTAGAGGAAAAGGGAACACAAACACTCTTCTGAGGAGCACTGTCTTCAGCAACTCAAGGTGAGCACTTAGAGTTTGCAGCCCACATCTACACCTAGGAGAAGACACTCAGGGTTGGGGTGTCTTGAAGGATGACAGGGGTGGTCCAGAAGGAGGCGGATGGACGAGCTGCTTCAGGCCAGGGATGTAATGAGCTTCCTCTGCCTGGTGCCTGGGCAAGCAGCACATCACTGCATGGGAAGAGAGAGAAGGAGTGACGGAGCTTCTACCCTGGAAGCCAGGTGACTGGAGAACCCAGCCCCACCAGACCCACACGTCTCCTCACCCACAATTACCACCCACCTGGAGCTGATTAACCAGTATTGCCAGAAGTGAAATGACACCTCTCAGCTCAGAGGAGGGAAGACAGAGGCTGCTGGCTCCTGGCTCAGACTCAGGGTTGCAAAGAGCCCAGAATCTCCAGGTTTAGGCAAAGCTTCAGGGCACGGTGTAAGGGACACTCAGGATGAGGGCATGGCAACCACCATCCTCGCCAGGATCCCTGCCTCTCCTGACCACAGAGCCATCTCCTACGTGCAGAGCCCCAGGACAGGGCAGGGGCCCAGTGCTTCAATATTGGGTGGAATGCAAGTCCCCCATTTCTGCAAATGTTCCTTCCCACATGGAAGCTGGAGAGTCTCCTGGATTACTCATTCCTGAAATTCAGCCCCAAATGGAAGCCAGGCAGCAGTCTTAAGGCTTCTCTCTTGGTAAGCGACCACCTTGCTAATTCTTGAATCTGTGCCCCCTCTGCACTCCCCTGGCCACCAGGATTGGGTGCCCACCTGGAGCAGCATACTGAGGCCCAGGTTGCGGTGCCTCTTCTCCAGCTCCGACACAGCCTGCAGCAGGGACCTGAACCTCTCCGCTGGGTCCGCATCCTCATCGTCCAGGGGCCCTTCCTCTTTCTCTGCTTCCTGCAGGAAGCGCCCCTCCTCCTCGGCAAAGAAGGCCCGAAGCTTCCTGTAGTCAGTCAGGGCCTTCTTTCTCCGATCCATCACATGTCCCTACAGGATGGGTGGGTGGCAGGGAGGGATACCCGTGCCCTCGGGCTACCCCGGGACACCCGCCCCCCACCCCACCACCGACCACCTCAAGGGAGTAGAGTCCCCTGACCGTACAGCGCTCAGCTGTGGCCCAAGGCCCTGCCGAATAGGGTCAGGGCGCACAGCCACGTTTCCTTGTTCACATGGACTCCAACCTCACCCCACTTGCCTTCCACACAGCAGCGGCGGACTCAGCCTGGCCATGCAGGTCCCGAGCGTCGTTCAGATCTTTCCTCATGATCTCCACAGATCCCTTGTTCTCCTGGAAAGAGATGCTGGTTATGGGGTGTGTGGCCACTTCTGAAGGTCTGGGGCCCACCTAAGCCCAGTCCAGAGGGACACTGCACCACCAGAATCCCCTGACAGTCCAGAGGCCTCAGTTCATGGTCTTGGCCCACCAGACACCTCAAAACACTGCAGGCACCAGAGAGGGGGGTCTTAGTGACCCACTATGCTCTCTCCAGTCTGAGAGAAATATTTGTGCTAAGAATCCAACAGGGTAACTGTACACAAGGCCATCCATTGGGGTCCCTAGTGTTACTGTCCCCAGCGTAGGGATGGAGGGTGGTCTCTTTGGGGTGAGGATGGCCACACCCAGGGCCTGCCCAGCTCCATGCACTGACTGGATAGGTGGGGTCCTTCACCAGGAGGAAAGACCAACTCCAGTCCCCTGGCCACATGCTCTAGCCCCAAGCAAGCCCCTGGATGCTACACTCCACTGTTTACCCAGGAGACCCCAGGACCCAACCCCTGACACATGTACCCTCAAACGTGCTACCCTCTCCCCTCTGGTGGGCAGGGACCACACTGTTTCCACTCCAGGGGCCTGGCTGTCTTTATTCTCTAAGAAATAAAGTTGAGCCCCCCCCACACACAGCGGGTCCCTGGGATCCCCAGACCCCAGTTGTGACCAGACTCCGATGGCAGGTTCCGACCCAGAATCAAGTGCCACATGTAACGGATGAAAGCACAGTAGAAAAGGTTCCAGAACAAAGTAGGTTAAGGGACTCGGGAGAAGACGGAATGGGAAAGGGGTGCACAGGACCCCAGAGGGGCCGATAGCCTCAGGCCCCGTCCCCTATGAGGGGACTTTGCTCGTGGGGGCAGGACTACCATAGCGTGACGTCACGCCAGGGGCAGGGCAGTAACACAAAAGGGGCAAGGCATGGGGGCGGGGCCCACAGCAGGACTGTCAGCCCCTGGGGGGTGGGGCAGGGCAGTACAACACTGAGAAGGCGGCAGGGGCATCCTGGGGGGAAGCGGGGGACGATGGGGAGAAAGGGCACTGTCCAGGGATGGGGAAAGGGGGACTGGATACCTTCCGAAGGTAGGGGAGTGGAGAGGAAGCAACTTCTGGGGGTAGGGAATGGGGGAACAAGGCACCGTCCAGAGATGGGAGAAAGGGTCCTGCGCACCGAACAGAGGAAGCAAAAGGGACAGGGCAACAACTGGGGTATGGGGGGGGGGGGGAAGAGGGAGACTGGGGACCAGGGCGCCATCCGGATAATACGGAGGGGGGACAGGGCGCAGTCTGGGGATGGGAAGGGGGGACAGGGCACCCTCCGGGGAAGGGCAGCGCATGGGACGCCGCCCGCGCGCACCTTGCCGCGCAGCGCCTTCCTCCAGCGGGGCTCCCACTCGGGCGGCTCGGGCCCCGCGGCCATGCGGCAAGCGGCGCACAGCGGGCCCCCGTCGGCTCGGCACAGCAGCTGCAGCGCCGCCTCAGAGGCCGGGCCGTCGCGCGCGGGCGCCGCGGCAGCCTCCTCGAGCGCCAGCAGGCGGCGGCTCAGCGGCGGGCGGCCGGGCTCCACAGCGCGCTGCCAGCAGTCGTCGGCGCACTCGGGACACGGGAAGGGCCCGTCCTCCTCCGCCCAGAATCGCACCACGCACGCCCGGCAGAAGCGATGGCCGCAGTCGGCGCGCACCGGCTCGCGGGGCGCGCGCTGGCACAGGGCGCAGGCGGCCTCGGCTGGGCCCGCGGGAAGCGCCAGGGCAGCGGCGGCGGGGCCCTCGAGGAGGGCGCAGACAGGGACGCGGACCGGGGAGCACAGGTGGCTGGGCTGGCGAGGCCGGAGACACGGGGGAAAGCCGGGGACCAGGACGCAGGAAAAGCGCGGCCGGAGAGCCGGGGACCGGGATGTGCGGACGGGGATGGAGAGCAGGGACGAAGGACAAGAATGGCGACTGGGATAGCTGGGCGCCCGATGCAGGGTCCTGGCAGGGGTGTGCTCCACGCAGGGTCCCGGCAGCGGTGTACTCCAGCCTCCCGGGTCCTGACAGGCCGCTACACTCCGCCTGGGTCCTGGCAGCGATGTACACTCCACCCCCGCCCAGCTAAGAGTGGCGCGCTTCAGTCTCCCGCCCGCGGGCCGACCCACGTCCTTGCACGCTGAAATCTTACAGGGGTTGTCACTTCTCCCATAAGTGACTCGTGTGCGAAAGGGAAACAGTTTTATTTGAAAAGTCCATTTTAAACGTCTTTTTTGTAAGCTGCCAGGACCTGAGCTGCAAGCACCTCCTCCGGGCGCAACGCCCACGCGGGGTGGGGACTGGGCTGGAATACGGTTTGCGTGGGGAGCTTCCTGTGCACCATCCCACGTGAAATCGTTCTGCATGCTCCGAACCGCGTGGGCCTTCCCCGCGTGCGTAGGTCCGGCGTGGACTCTCAGAGGAACACGTCTTGTGAGGACCACCCCCCGTGGGTGGCCAACGTCCTACCTGGAGCCCAGGCTTTAGGTCCCCAGTTCGCCCCGGAGCCTCAGGCACGGGGAATCCAGCGGCGAGGAAACTCATTGCTTTAGCGTGAAGACTTGTGATAAGACCCAGGGCTACCAGTCTCCAGGTCCTTACCAGGAAATTCGTTAGCATTTCTTTAAAGACAAACAAAAAAGGTTTAGGGAGGAGCGGTCTGGTGGTTTGTTTTTGTTTTTTTGTTGTTTTAAACAACCGAGCACGTGGTTTAAAAAAAATGCAATTTTTAATTTTTTAAAAGTGAATCTGGGGCTTCCCTGGTGGCGCAGTGGTTGAGAGTCCGCCTGCCCATGCAGGGGCCACGGGTTCATGCCCCGGTCTGGGAAGATCCCACATGCCACGGAGCGGCTAGGCCCATGAGCCTATGGCTACTGAGCCTGCGTGTCCGGAGCCTGTGCTCCGCAACAGGAGAGGCCACAGCAGTGAGAGGCCCGCGTATCGCAAAAAAAACAAAAACAAAAACAAAAACAGACATCTTAAATTAATGAATTTAGTGCTTTTTTTTTTTTTTAATGTATGGGAAGATGCAGTAGTCTGGGCTTATTGGAATCATTCCTTGGATAGGGACCTTAACCATCTAGGGCCGGTACCCTGTTTTTCTCCTTTCTGAATCCCCTCAGGGTGCACAGTTGGGGTGGCTGTGGTGCCACAACATCCTTTGTTTACTAATAAGGCAAGCTGGTTGTCTTTATCCACACAGCCTCTCCTTACCTCTCAAGGGACTGGTCCAAAGAGGTAGTGGAGGAGCCAGTATATATTAGAATTGTTTTGGCTGGGAAATACTTGTAGTCAAGCATACATTTTGATAAAAGATTACTGCTAATCACAAGGAACAGATATCTCAAGTTACTGATTTTAGTGCTTTTCTATCTATGGGAAGATGCAAGAATATGGGGTCATTGAAATTATTCCTTAGATATGCATTTTAACTGTCTGGGGGCCTGGTAAATCCAAAGTGCAGAATGTCTCATCATTTTTTCCCCCATCTTGAATTCCCCTCAGGGCACACTGTCAGTGGGCAACTGTAGTGGGTTGCAACTTACCTCTTTCTATAACAGGGTGATGAGTGACACTCTTTATTCTCTTTGTTTACACTGGCATAGACTTGAAAATGCACTAAATGAGCAGTTGGAAGTGTGACTGAAAAACTGAGGTTAGTTCTGTGGAGCAATGGTTAGAAGGAGGAAAGCACTTCAGGCCGAGCCTAGCTGATTTGTTGGGTAGACTAGGAACACAGTGGAGAGAAAAGTGGGGAAAAAGAAAAAGAAAATCAATGAGCAAAGGCCATGATAATTCAGTGAGTGTGAAAAATAATCAGGCACAACGCGTTAAAGGCAAATAACCAAACTAGGAAAATGTCAGCCACAAATATACAAAGAGTTCATAAAATTTGGAACAGAAAAGTACAACGGAAAAAATACCCCCTGCCCCATGGAATTTGTCAGCTCACAGAGAAAATGCAAATGCTGAATAGACATGAGAAAAAATATACACTCTAACCAGTTACCAAGAAATAGAAACATAAAGTGAGACATTTTTTTTTCACTATTAAGTTGGGAGACCCTGTTACTAAACCAAACCTGGGTCCATTCATCCATGTCGCAGCAAAGCCAATCAGTCTACTGACACTGAGTTGTGGTAAAGGAAAGTATGCAGGGTGCCAAGCAAGGAGAATGGGCAGCTCATGCTCAAAAAGCCCAAACTCCCCAGTGGATTTTAGGGAAAGGTTTTTAAAGGCAGCATTTGGGGTAAGCAGCTGGTGGACTTTCTTCTGACTGGCTGGTGATGAGATAACAAGGTGATGTTTCAGGAATCCTAAACATCTGGTTCCAACCAGTCTTGGGTCTACCTGCTTGTCAGCATGTAGTCACCATCCTCCACCTGGGTGGGGGTCTTAGTTTCTGCAGAACAACTCAAGGATTTGCATCAGATTATTATTATGTCCCTTGAGGAGGAAATAGGACTCTGTTTTATTGCTGAACTATTTTTCAAGCTCTCTTGCTTAATGCTTTTCCTTTGTTTCTGCATTCCATCACTTCCCTAATTAGAGCCTGAGTCTGCTCCTCCAAACTCAGGGAAGGCCTAGGACTCTACAAACAAGGAATGGGGGATATGGAGGGGATTTTGTACCTGGGAAGTCCCTCCTGCTGGGTTTCAACCAAAAAAACCCTGATTTTGCAGATATTGCTTCTGGGAGACAATGTAGCAGTATGTGTTAAGGATCTTCAGATTTTTCATAACCTTTGGAATTCCTTTTCTCAAAATATGTTCTATAAAAATAACCCAAAGTGGAAATAAATCGTCATTTGGTTTGGTCTGGAGAAGTGTTTGTCATATCACTATTTGTTGGGGGGGGAAGCTTGAAGTCCAATAATAGGGGAATGACTCAGCAAATTATAGCAGCCATCAATTTGAAGATGTATGCATGAAAGATTTTTGGAAATGAGGAATGACAAACATTGTTAGAACCCATCCATGAACTGCTCCCAACTCCAATGCGTGGATTTTTCCCCACACCAGGCAATTCTCTGTGTTTACAATTTAACTTAATTTTGACACTCCTGGAGATAGCATCAAACCCCACAGGTTAAGGGCTCAGTGATACAAGACTGGCCCCCTGCAACTTCAGTTGCCAATCACAAATCCAAGCATCACCTGTGATACTATAGTATCACAAATGTCTATAGACCAGAGGGTCTCATAACAGTATCACACTATCCTTTGTTAAGACCAGCAGAATCAAAATTGTGTTGTGCAGAATTCCCATTTTCCAAGACAGACTCAAACTGGCATTTTCCCTCCAGCTTCCTTTGTACCATCCAGATGAGAGACAAGGAATGGGAGAAGAGAGGGCAAAGAAGAGATGTGCATTCTCTCCCTCATCTGCTTCTTGAAACATCCAGAGAACTGAAGACTCCCACTTTCAGGTCAGAGGCAGAATAAGAGTGGGTGATGGTCTGAATTATTGCTCAGAATAACATTTCATAAATACCACCGATACAGTAGGACACTTGGCAGGCTCTGAGCATCTTGATGCTGACATCAAAGACATCAGAGAACTAAATAAGGGACTTCCCTGGTGGTGCAGTGGTTAAGAATCTACCTGCCAATGCAGCGGACATGGGTTCAATCCCTGGTCTGGGAAGATCCCACATGCCATGGAGCAACTAAGGCTGAGCACCACAACTACTGGGCCTGTGCTGTAGAGCCCACGAGCCACAACTACAGAGCCCCTGTGCCACAACTACTGAAGTCCACACGCCTAGAGCCCGTGCTCTGCAACGAAGAGTAGCCCCTGCCTGCCGCAACTAGAGAAAGCCTGCATGCAGCAACAAAGACCCAATGCAGCCGAAAATAAATTAATTAATTAATTTAAAAAAACAAAAAAACCCAAAGCTTTATTTAAAAAAAAAAAAAGAACTAAATAAGAGAATGCCTTACCATGAAAGGGCAGAATTCCCAGTTTTGCTGATTCTGAACCATATTCCATATTTCTCAATATTGTATTTTAAATAGATTAGTATAAAGTTTTGAGATTAAATTAGTTACAATGAAAAATCTGAATATTTTCTATAAATGTGACAAAGTAGTTTTTTTTTTTTAAGGTAACAAAAAAATAGACCACTAGAAGAGAAATAAAGGATTCTAAGGGTAGCAGAATATACCACCCCAAAATGTGTCATTTTGAGCTGGAGGCAAATGAGGATCAACAGTTGCAGAAAGATGCCTTCCCAGAGTTTCCTTAACTGACTAAAAGCAGAAACTTCTGAAAAATGAAAACCACCATAAGTGCCCTCTCTGGGGAAGTCTTCTGGCTGTAAAGATGATGGAAAGTCAGGGCCAAGAGGGACCTGCACTAACGACACTTGTCTTCCATTGGTTTCCCCCCAAATATTTACCTTCCCATAGCTTGACACCGCTGGAAGCCTAAAACCCTTTTCCTTTCTCTTGTCACTTCTCTACAGGTTTATTTGTTAAGATGCTATATAAGCCCAAGTTCTAACCATCCCTTTGAGTTACTCATCACTGAGATTTCTTCTGTGTGATGTGCACCATACGCATTAATAAACTATTTTTCTCTTGTTGATCTGATGGGTTTTTTTTTTTTTTTTTTTGTCAGTCTAATTTATGGGGTCTCAGCCAATGAAACTAAGATGAGAAGAGAGAAAAGTTTTTCTCTCCTTTTCATTACAGGAAGTTGTAATCGCACTTCAACCTAATGATTTGATGTGTGTTTTATTGCATTTTGAGTTACCCTATTTTAAGTTCTGTTTTCACAAACCAAACAAAAGGGGATGGTAAAGAGATCTTCAACTACGTGTGTAGGAGAAATGATTGAAGAGCTGAGGGTGTTGAGATTAAGAAGATAGAACTCTGGAAATTTCATGTCTGGCATGTGGAAAAGGAATAGAAAGCAATTTTTATTTCTCAGAAAAGACAGAAATAGGACTAAGAAATACAACTTACTAGGAGGCAAATTTGAAGTCGTTATGGTTATGATATTGTGATGTATAATAAGAAATATATATTTGGCCTTCCTCCCTATTCCTAGCACAGAGATCCTAAAACCCTGGGAAATTCCTAAGTGATGAGAATCATAAAGTTGTCCTGATATTCAAAACGAACCTCTGCCAGTGACATCAGGGTTTGTGTTAATGAGGTAACTTTTGGAAAGTTCTTGAGGATGGGAGCAGGTTGCCAGGGGAACCAATCTAGTAAGAGAGGGTTGGAAGTTTTAGTCCCACCCTCCATAAAAACCCAGAAGGATGGGGTCTGGAGAGCTTCCAGGTCGATGAACACAGGGAGATTTGGAGAGAGTGGCATGCCCAGAGAGGGCATGGAAGCTCTCTGCCCTTTCTCCATA